AGAGTACTACAGCTGATCGTTCAAGGGAAAATAGACAGCAGAAGGGGTCCAGGGAGGAGAAGACACTCGTGCTCCAAAACTTGCGGCAATGGTTCGGATTGTCATCTGCTGAACTATTCAGATCTGCCGTAAACAAAGTCAGATAGCCATGTTGATTGCCAACGTTCGGAACGGACAAGGCTCATGAAGAAGAAGAATTCACAGAGTCGTGGGCTGCTTTGTAGTCTATAAATATGTGATGAGTATCACTGCCATATTCCAGTGTTTTTTTCAAAATTTGTTTCAGGGTTGCAATCTGATGAATTGTCGATTTAACACCTCTGAAACCAGCCTGGTATTTTCCTACTACTAGTTCTGCATATGGTGCCATATGATGACATAGTACTGTGGAAAATATTTTATACGCTGCATGTAGAAGCGTAATTCCTCTGTGGTTAGAGCATTCAAAGATATCTCCTTTCTTTATGTATGGTGCAAAGTATTCCAATATTCCAATCATTGGGGAGGGATTTCTGTGTTCATATTTCTTTTGTAAGCTGATGTAATGCCATTATGGTATCATGGCCTCCTTCTTTATATAGTTCAGCTGGGAGAAATCCGGTGATTTGTTTCTGGCTAGTTTTTTAACTGCATCTTTAACTTCAAGAAGCTTTGGTGGTTCCTCTTACAAAAAGTAACAGATATAAAGTGGACATTTGCAGGCCATAATATCAGGCAGAGAGACTATAGATCGAACAAACAAATGCTGCACTGAAGACTATGAGAATCAAAACGACCCAAAGGAACACCACAGATGGCGTGAGTAGAAGATAAGTGCCGGTACAAGATGGATGAAAATCGTAATGAAAGAGAGAAATGGAGGTCAGAGGGGAAGGTCTTTATCAGAACTTTATATAAAATATATAAAAAATGCCTTAGATAGATATAATAACATTATATGGTCTTAGTCTATATCCGCTCCTGGCTATGTCTTTACGGATTTAATAATCATCATTAACAGCTATTCCATCCATCATCTTTAGAGCGATTCCATCCATCATCAGATGTAAGTCTCCCTTAGGTGTGTCCATCAATTTCTGTTTATTGTTTTGTGCATCAATTCGTGACCACCTAGTCGCTTGATGTCAACAGTCCATCTGGTTTGAGTTCTACCTCTGGAATTTCTAAAATATCAGGAGATTTCGATGAAACCTTACTGATCTATAATTTCAGTGACAGAGTCATTGCTGACCCTATAAACATAAGCAGAAGTTCTGTGAAAAATATATTATTACTAGAATAAAAAAAATCCTTTTACATATAAGACGAAAATCAAATATGATAACGATAATCACAACTGCGCAACCCTTGTTACGAGAATAAGAGGTAAACCAAAGTACAGGCTGATAGACGGGATGACACAAGATGGCGAGACGATCGGTGCTTCCTATTTGACAATCCATGCACAGAACAGAACAGTATAACACAGAACACTTATGAAGGTTAAGGCCCCTTAGTGCTATGAAATTGCTCGTGAAATATAATTGTACACCGCTCCCTTCTTAGCATTGTGAACTGATTCCATTGAGCTTATACGGGCTCAAATAAAAAGCTCAAGGGTGAGAGAACTGGGGATTTAAAATGAATGAGGTGATAGCTATCACCTCACGCTTGAATCGTGAAAAACTTACATTAGATACACTATAAGAAAAGAAGACAATACCCAGTTTCGTTTGAACCATTAATTATCAATGTAACTAGTGATAACGGTGTTCACTATCCGTAAGAGTTTACTTCAGACGACAATTTAACTTTTGTTATTGTGCATGAGATACCCAACCAAAAAACATCAGAAGTTTATTTATATTCCATAGAAATTAGTTTACTACTATAATAGTATCAGAAAAATGGGTACTTTAATTTCAAAGTTAAAACACTTTTTTTATATAGTAACGTTCTTTCAAGTGATAATTTTTCTTTCAGTGGTAAAAAACCTATTTATTAAAAAAAAAACGTTTATACGAAATCAAAAAATATGTTTTTATGAAAAAAAAAAAAAATTGGCAAAAAGACAAAAAAAAACATTAAAATATAACAAAAATAAAAAAGTTATAATTATTCAACAATCAGCACCACTGTCTCAGTACAAATTTTCATAATCTAGCTAGACTAGTGAAGGCGAACCTTTTTAGCTCGGTGTATCAAAATTAAAAAAAAAAAACATAATTTTCGTTGCGTGTCAAGAGTAAAATGTAATGACATGACTCGCAAAACAGAAAACCAAAAAAGGGTATATCGATGGAAGGCAACCGTATATACGTATTTCTGACTATTTTTCGTCTTTAGTACGGTTCAGAAGACGCGGCTTCGATACAGCCACATTTCCAGAAAAGCGGCTCTAGAAATGTGGTTGTATCGACGCATACTGAGAATACCTTGGACAGACAGAGTGACCAATACAGAGGTATTAAGACGAACGGGTAAAGAGGTGGAATTGTTAACAACTGTTAAAAGGAGGAAAGCGTCATACCTGGGCCATGTGTTCCGTAATGATAAGTACAGTCTGCTACAGCTTATCGTGGATGGCAAGATTGAAGGTAGAAGAGGTTTGGGCAGAAAGAAGAAATCCTGGCTGAGAAACTTGAGAGAATGGTTTCGAATACCAGAAGATGCGAACATAATTCATGCAGCACAAAACAGAGAAACCTATCGTATGATGATCGCCAACCTTCGGTAGAAGACGGCACATAAAGAAGAAGAAAGTACGGTTCAGCCAAGTTAGAAAAGGAGCATGTTAACTTGGGAAAGGATCACTACAGGAGCAATGCGACCAATTTGTGGCATTAGAGTTAGAAGACCCTGATCCTTCGAACATCTGGAACTTGTTTGCTGTCTTTTTGCCTAAGGTTCATCGGGTATTTTTGGTACATCTTTGCGTAACTGGCGACGACTAATTTGAGGATTCTCTTGACGTATTTTGCAATAATCCTCTATGAGAGGCATACCTGACTGTTTCAGAATTGAATTGCTTTTCATAGAATAATCTTTAGTATTTGTTCTGTACCTTTGTTACTCTTTGTCGTATTATATAATTCTATTATTTCTGTGAGTGCCTTATCTAAACTTTCCAGAACATACTCTTCGGTGAAGTAGTGTAGAAACAGAATTACATTTTTTTTTTGTTTGTTTGTTTGGAGTGTATGAAACAGGGAAACAGGGATAATTTTAGAGTGAAATTCAAAAAGCAACTACACACTGCTCTATCTTTTACTGAAAATACATTCGGAAGAATCTGTGTTTTAGTCTTCTTCAAGAAAAACGAGCACTACTGTGCCAACAGAAGTAAGCTGGTAACTATCTAACTAGTTCTACCATAAGTGAATAGCTGGTAAGCTTTTGACAGGATCAACAAAACGTTTTACCACATCGTAAAGAAATTTATAGAATCCTTGCGGTTGCATCCCCACATAAAGTTCCATATTTAAGCAATGGTAACTTTTTGTTGCCAATAAGAGCAAAAACTTCTAGACTGTATTTCGCCGGTTTATTGGTAGTACACTGACGAAACGAAACTCGACCTTCAGTGTTTCATCTAATGTAAGATTCGCTAGGAGTATAACAGTTTTGAATATTTTCAATAAATCACTTCTAAATGGCTCTATTTACGCCATTTTGTAAATTTCACGTCGCGCGTCGTTGGGTTCTAGTTTAAATATTATCAAAACGTATGGCAATTGTAATAATATATAAAATCTTTGACATGGTGTTTCCAAGTATATATTCCAGTCTCATCTGTTGCACAAAAATCACGAGATTTTGTCTTCTGACTTTTGTATAATCCAGTCGAATAAAGTGAGCCTTTCAATGCTAAAATTGAACTGCTTTCAACTCTGTTACATCCATTTATTTCATCAAATATTTATGTGTAGTATAATGTGAGTAACACAGTAGTTTGACATTTATACGTTGTGTTATATCATTCAACATCTCGGTCGTGAAAAATAAAGCACCAAAATTCCAATGTTGCGCGTGAGTTTTGTGCAGTTACTTTCACTCCAGAAAGATGGGTGATTATGTATTCTGAACTTGTTCTTATATTTCTAGGTTCCGAGTTTTTTGACCATTTGGACATTGTTTGTGTCAAGAAGTCACATTGCCTATTGGTTCCAAAGTTTTATCCTTTTATTCCTATGTGTTTACTTCATCTTATGCCTCAGTTTTATAGTTTGATACCTCATACCATAGAGCCTGCACCCATTGCAGGTCTTGTTCATAAGACATTCTACGAAGGTATAATAGTTATTTTAGTGGTTACAGTTGTATATAATAAAATTCAAACTATGACATTTCGCTTACCGACTTTGTTCACTTATGGGACAAAATTGATGGAAAAGAAACGTTGGATAGATACGTCATCACATCCGACTATGTTTTATTTGAAGGTACTGGATATGTGCGGACGATCCGGGACAGCATAAAATAACAGCTAACGAAGGATCTGGAATTGGGGTATGAGATACAGCAGAACACTAACGAAGCAAATTAAACTACTTTGTTTTGTTGTTAACCGAAGGAAGTACGGCCTATGCAACTCCAATATACTTTAATTTTTTAAAAAGCTAAGCCAGCTTTAAATAACTTTAGATCAAATTTAATTTTCAAAATTCACTTTAAAAGCATGAACTATACAATACACTCAATACAGAATTTTAAGCAGCAGTAGCAATTATTAAAATAATATCTCTCAACCTTACAGCAAGTTTCGAGCTGTCACAAGAACCACTAAGTATAAGCAATACTTTATATTATTTAAGAACGGAATAGTATAGCATTTTTAGCTTTTTGTAATAAATATTGATGTTTGAAGATGATAAAATATCGTCGTTTTAACGCATTCAGATTTCTAAGAATTTAATGCCTAAAATTTTGATACTATACATCTTTATCACTTATTATTATTGCTGTTTTATTGATTTTGATTTATTTTCGTAATATGCAATACAAATGTTTTTCTTTTCCAGATTAGCGACACGCTCAGCAACGACAGTATATGTATAGAAATAGACGAAAAACCTAAGAAGTATTCTTCTCAAGCAGCTATATTGCGCAGTCAATTTTTCCATTCCATTAACGACGGCAAACCCACTACGAAGAGTCTCGACGATAAGACCATCATCGAAGTGTCCAACGAGACATTGGACAAACAATCTCAACCACTTATAATTACCGAGAACGGACCCGTGGTGGTCAAGCTGTCGTCTTCTCTCAATTTCGAGAATTCCAAGTTATAGTTACCCTAGTTTTCTTAGAGACTTTTATTTGTTAGAATATTTTTTGCTAAGACTGACAATTCGGTATATAGGTCACGTTTTTGAAAATATGTTGTAGTGCTGAGGTAGGAGAAACATTTTCGTATCATCATAAGTCCGAGACTGTTTTTCTTCTAAACATCCGAATATTTTTCATTTTGATCAGTGTAGATTTCACACAAACCAAATGTGAACCCTCTTTGCTTGTTATGGGATTTTTTTACTGAAATTCATTTTTGTATATCTGGCTGTGATCAGTGGGGTTACACAGAAGGGGGGAATATTAAAAACGATAATATTACTTTATCAAAATTTAACTCTCACTCCCTCTAAGCGGAAAATTCGCTAATGGCAGATATCTAGAATGTCAAAAGGATTAAGCTCTTGATCGAACCCTACGTGACCGGGCATATTGGAGTATCTCTCAAACATTTTCTTACTAATCCGGACGTCCCGAGTAAAACCGCTTTTGCATCGTTTACTAATACTTAGCTATTTAATGTTCTCATGGAGGTTCTTCGCAGTGACACCAGTGGTAGGGAGGATTATTTTATTATTGTCATTAATATTTTTTAATAGAGTCATAGGCTGTCACAAAACTTTCGAATCTTCTTGGCATAGATAAAATTAAATGTCGCATGTCCCCCCAAACATTTTTAATAACTTCCCACAATGCACTACCTACGAAAACTAAACACTGCCATTTTCCAGCGAAAACTCTTTATATAACTTTTTGACTATGAAGCTCCTTGAATTTTCAATGGAGTTCAAATCGGGTTTTGCTCTGCATGACAATACATTTTGTTATTGTTGTTGACTCACTCACTTACCATTCGTGACGAAAATTATCCTGTAATAAAAATCGATGATAAACAGTTACAAATGTATAAAACTAATTTTTTCTGCTGTTAGACGATCGGAATCGGATGTTTTTTCTTGTGCTTTAACAGCCGTTTCAAAAGAATTTTGACAGATATGTTTTTCGAGAGAATTTTCTTCATTGTCATTGAGACCTTCTCTCCACCTTGTCTGGGATGTCTTCACAATCTTTTTTGTTTTTGATATTATTTTATAACGATAAATATGAATACTTTACTGGTATTTAATTTAGCAGCTACTTTACTTAAGGATCAATTTTCTTCCAATTTAGTTAACCCTTAGTTAAAGGCTACAGCATTTTTGAAAATTTATTTATCAATGATTTTTAAGAGCAGTTACAATTCGGTTTCGTTAACTGTACATCTTGCATTTGTAATAACGAAGTAATGAAATATATATTGATTTAAAATCAATTGACACTCATGTATCATTCGGATACTATTTCTTACTTTTTAGTGCTTCTAATATGATATTCTTAATGTCTCCTCTTTTTTTAATGTATAGTTTAAATACTATTGAAGATACGAGTTTGTTTTTACTATTTTTTATTCAACAATGACTGTACAACTTAGCTGATTATAGCAGCCAGTATAGTATATATAAAGAAAGAAATAAATAAAATTGCAGTCGTTTTCATCTACGTAGATTTCATTAAGTTCGAAAGCTTACTGTGATGTTTAATGATCAAATTTTAAATATCGTCATCTTTTATCTTTCTTCCTTTATATTTAGAACAAATGTTGAATACCTCAACACTATTACCATTAGGAAATTCGCTAAATGACTCGTTTTGCAAAAATATTACTTTTTGTATGACGGTTGTATATTTTATACTGATTTTAGAATGGTATGAGGAATATTAAAATAATTTTTATTTACAATGAATTTTATATATTTTGTAAGGTTTTTGTCGTATATTTGAGAGTTATTAACAGTAAAAATGAATGATCTTTTTCAGCTGTGATTAGAAACAAAGTGATCCTTTGAAGGGTCTGTAAAATAATGATACTGTAAGATATTTTATTTATTATTAGTTATTATCATATTAAAACAATTGATTCCTTGTCTATGCAATGCTCCATGCACTTTTTGCCATCTTCCAGACTGCTGAAAGGCTTCTTATGTAAACTCCTTTTTTTCAGCTGTTATTATATCATCTGCATACGCAATTATTCCGAGTTGTTTTGGTGATTAAAATAGTTCTTTTATAATGAAAATTACATATTATATTTATTTTAACATTTCGATTTCCAATCTGGATTAGAAAGATCTTTCTTTCTTCTAAACTCTTTCTTTCTGATGTGGCTTTTCAATCTGCTATTATTTCAAATGTTTTCCATTATTTCAGTTGTTTTCTATCCATGTTCATTCGATCTTTGTTTTTAGCTTTCCGTACAATTTACTGATACATTTACAGTGATTATAAGATCTTATGTTCCGCTTGAAGAGTTCCATCTAAGAGACATATTGTGTAGCTTTAGAATAGGAGGACTTTTATTACTCCTCTTCTTTACTCTTCCGTTCTGCTCTAAAATCGACTATTTTATTATATGTTTTCAATTCTATTTTAATTGTTGTCTGCCAGTTTCCTTCGTTATTTGGTTTTGTCTTTGCTTACTAACTAACTTATAAATGATCAGTGATTATAAGAAGTTTTGAACAAGAAACGCGTGGCTTCAGTGTAGAAAGAGACCTTTTTTTTTCAATTTTTTTCACTGCTCTGGTTGCTATACCTTTTTAAATATTTTAAACATTTTCATTTATATTATAGGAATTATCTATCACGTCCTTTCGTTGTTTTTTGACTATCCTTACTACTTGCTTGATAAAGTTTACGTGATTACGTGAAGAGCTCCAAACGAGATTTTGGAAATATGTATGTAGCTTCAAGTTAGGAATTCCTTCACTCTTTCTTTCTAGTGTGCTTGCTAAAATTTCGCATTTGAGTTTTCATTTCTATTGTTTCTTATCAATCATCAAACAATGACAAAACTTGATCATATCTATTAAAACTGGTTCTAATTTTGGCTATATTAAATTGATGTAAAAACGTTTTTAATTTTAGTCCTACTTTAAGTTACGATAGTGTAAATCCTTATTTACAGTAAGTACTCAAATATCAGAAAAGAAGGAATGAGTAAGGAATTTTTTAGGAAGTATACATTTTACTCAAAACATAGGTCATTAAATAATAAAAAGTGATACTTTTTAAATAAAACCTTTTCTATATTTTTAAAGTTCCTCATACTTATAGAATACGGCTTTATCAACTATGTGTATACTTGTCAAGTGGAAAAATATTGTTTAGTCGATATTTTTTTATATATAATCCTCCCTTAGCAATCTTTTGTCGTGTGAATGTTGCTCTTTAATATTATTGTTCGGAAATCTAAACAACTTTTTCATGTTAACAGAATCCTTTCATCATTTCAGTTACTTATATACAATATTTTGAAGAGATTATTTTTTTAATTGTAACGTGTATAACAAAGATATATCTCAAATATAAGTTTATTGTCTTATAAAGAAGTATTTTATTTCATTGCGTCAGATACTTGCATAATTTTTTATTTAATTTTTTTTCGAATCTATGACTTCAAATAATAACTTTCCCGCTGATCGTGTATTTTTAAACTCGTATGACATTTTGTACCATTAAAACCATTAAAAAGTCCGACTCACGACGTATAATGGCCTTTGAAATGTGGGTACATCGCACAAGTGTCTCAATATTGACAAAACTCGACATCAATACTAGCCTTACCACAATCATCAACCAAAATAAATTGAGGTACTTTGGACACATTACCAGACGAATGGAAGGCATGGTGAGGTTGGTGGTTGAAGGCTAGGTAGATGGTAAAAGAACTCGAGGAAGATCGCTACTCCGATGGTCAGACCAAATAAAGTGCGCTACCAGTTACTCTCTATCTGGGGCAGCACACCATGCCCAGGAAAGAGAAGAATGGATAGCAACCATTCGTCAAATACCATAACGTCACCACATCCTTACGAAGGATAAAGGATAGAGGAGGGAGGAGAACGGCATTTTGTATTTAATTTGGAAGTGCGAGAAAATTTTGCGTACATTTAAATGTTACATCTATAAGCGTGGTGCCACAGGTATGAAAAATTAGAAACTGGGATAAAATCAAACCAAGTATATACACTCCGCGTCATAGAAAACGGGCCACACCAAATATTTAAAATATTTTCGAAATTATTATTTATTGCTACAAAATTAAGCATTTATTTTGTTGTATATTGAATTAAATTATTTTATTTTTAACGTGTGTTGGGTTATTTAAGTTAAATGAGTTGTTGTGAAAGCAAACCGGCCCTGTAACTGGATTGAGGATATTCGTAGAACCTATAAAACAAAACAATCATGAGAAAAAGTTGTTTACAACTTGATCAATTTTCGAGGAAGCGATTGTTTTGAGAAATGTATGATATTGTAAAGGGTTCTAATGAGTTTTAAACGCATCTCAGTATTACAGTAGCCGACTTAGTGGAACTAGTCTTCAGTTAATAACGATGGAGAATTTTCAAAAATCTATTGAAATTGTAACGTTACTGCGAAGTGGATTAAGTCAAAGACAAGTTGCAAGACAATTGAATGTTAGTCGTTCGACTGTACAAAGTACCCAGCAACGATTTATTGTCACAGGATCTCACTAACTACGACCTGGTACGGGTCCAAAAGGGAAAACAACCGCTAGGGAAGTCGTCCTTCTTGCTGCATTACGGAATCGGACCCAAACCGCTATAATGCTTCAAGGCTATTTACAGCAAGCTCAAGGACCAGCAATCAGCCTTTCTACTATTCGTCGAAGATTAAGGGAGCAAGGTTTGGCAGCTTGCAGTCCAGCAACGGGACCCTTACTTTCCCCAGCTCACAAAAGTCGAAGACTAGATTTTGCCCGTGAGCACATCAATTGGACAGCAGACGATTAGAAAAAAGTATTGTTTACGGATGAGTAAACAATATAGATGAGTATACAATATGAGTATACCATATTATATCCTATTGAGCATATATGGAGCCTGCTAAAAGTCGCGTTAGGCGTCGCATACCTGCTCAAACAATACCTGGAGAGCTTCAGAAGGCACTCATTGAGGAATGGGCCACTTTTCCCCAAAGAGATCTCCAAAACGTTATAAATTCCATGCCAAATCGAATGAGGAGTGTCATCCAGAATCGAGGTGGCAATACCCATTACTGAAAATGGGTACCAGCTTTATTTTTAATATACAGTTCATTGTTGTTTTAAAAACTGTAAGTTGATTTTTTCAATAAATTTCCTATTTTTCTTAAATTTTTTATTTTCGATTGATGTTTTACGATAATGATGAAATTTTATACTAAACGAGTTATTGATTCAATATACGAAAAAATAAATGCTTAATTTTGCAGCAATAAATATATATAATTTCGAAAATATTTTAAATATTTGGGGTGGCCCGTTTTCTATGACGCGGAGTGTAGTAACTTAAAAAAAAAACATTGTTTTATACTAGATTTGAAAATTCATGATAGCAGTCTTTGCCGAGCGAAGCAGCCACATAGGTGAATCATCCGATCACGTATTGTAAGTTATATTTCTTATACAAAAGCAGAGAGCAAATAAATGGTAATTGTATTATCTATCAAACAATTTAAAAGTATACTGTTAATAATTGCAATACATTTTTACTGAATAAGAAGTAGTTTATTTAAATCTGTACAACAAAAGGAACCACCGCTTAATGGAAAAACACCAAAGTCGAAGGACTAATCTGAAGTAATTATACTTAATTACTTGTACCCAGCCGAAGTATTTATTCAGCTACACTTGGACGGTGTTAGAGAAACCCTTTCCGTTTTCACTAGCATCAATCATCAACGCAGAACAATTAAAAATATCAATACCTTCATTCTCTGCATATTCTACCGATTATGGTGTAGCCTCCGGTAGGATTAGCCGATTGTCTAAAATTCCCTTTTCTGTTTATATTGTTCTGAAGCTATTTTCTTGTGGCATTTTAAATTAATTACTATTTAACTGGGAATAAGCCACAATTAAAGATAAAAATACGTTTATTGACGTTTCAATTTCCACTTCGAAATTTGTGGCTTATTCCCAGTTATATAGTAATTAATTCCCTTTTCTGTGCCATATTGTACCGGCTTGTTTCCTTATGTCATAGTCCCATCTTAAATTTGGACGTCTTCTTGGTCTCTTAACGCCTCTTGGATACCACAGTGCAATTCTAGTGGACCACCTATTGTCAGTTCTTCTCGCTAAATATCCCGCCCACTGCCATTTTAAAGATTTAATTTTATGGATTACATCAATAACCTTAGTTTTCTGTCTGATCCATTCTATTCTTTTTCGATATCTCTTTGTTATACCTAGCATGCATCTCTCCATTGACCTTTGATTGACTTTAAGTTTCGATATTATCTCTTTCTTTAGTGTCCAAGTTTTGCAGCCGTATGTCATAATTGTTAGTACACACTGATCGAATGCTTTTTTCTTCAGGTGAATTGGCATCTTCGATTTGAATATAACTGCATTTCTACGAAAAGATGTTCAAGCTAGTTTCATTCTTCTGTTGATTTCTGGAAGTAAGGGGCCATATTTATGTATTAATTTTCCCAGGTATACATACTCGTCTACTGTCTTAAGTGCAGTATTGTTTATTATTATATCTTGGTCATCCACTAGCTCGTTGTACATGGTTTTTGTTTTTTTAAGTTCATTTTTAGGCCAACTTCATGGCTAGTTGCAGTCAAGAGTTTTGGTGATTGTGTCTCCTTGTCAGACGCCTCTGGTAGTGGGAAATTCTGGAGTGTTTTTATACATTTTTATCTTAGCTTTTGCTTGTCTGTATATATTTGTCAAAGTTTATATGTACGGTTTGTCAATGCCTTCGTTGGTCAAAGCTTCTTTTACTGCCTTGGGATATATAGAATCGACAGCCTTCTCGAAAACTGAAGGTTAATGCTAGCGGTATTTCATATTCTTTAGCTTTACTCATTAGTGTATGAATATGATCTATGGTACTGAACACAGATCACCTACTTGGTCTGTGGTACTGAAGCCAGCTTGTTCTCTCGTAGTATATACAATGTAGGTAAAAGTTTATGGTCGGTATGTACCTTACGTGAGATGGAGTGAAAAACACCTATTTAAAAAGAGAGAGGTATATTACGTCCGCCCTTTATATCGTCGAAATAGCATTAGTGGAACTAAGAAAAGAGAAGAAGTTCAACATTGCCAAACTTATTGGTTTCATTTGGGCGAATTGATTTAAATGGCAGCTTACTGTTTTTATTTTAAATATGCTACCATTTTCCTTTCCAATAAGTTAATTTAACATTTTGATTTCCACTTCGGAAATCGTTTTATGTAAATAAAATTTATTAATGTTTGGTATTTTAAGTACGATTTCCGAATTGGAAATCTAAACATCAAAATAAGCTTATTTTAAAGTCACATTGTGCCTTATTTTCAATAAAAATAATAAACTGCAATATGACACCACAAAAAAAAGTTTCTTACACAATTATTTGGCAACGTTGAGTTCTTACAGTAAGGGCACTGTAGTAACGAGAAAAACAGTAGAGGTGAGTCGTTGACGTTTTTATCGTTAACGAAACTGAACCGCTTTTCGTAAACAGCTTTTTCCTGTAGTTGATTTATAACTAAGTTTTTCTTTGCAAATATTGCATACAGCCTTCTCACTGTTAATGTCTTTCTCAAAGTGATGTCATAAAATACTAACATCTTTATGCGCAGACATGTTAAACACACAATTAGTTAAAAAAGTAAATATTTACTAATCACAGAATAAATTCACATTTACGTTAGACAAAACACAACTCCAAATAAAAATTTAGTTTTCTGAATAATATAAAACGTGAATCGGGGATTCCCATGTGTTAATATTTCAAATTAAAAATAATCGATCATTGCAAAAATCAGAAAGTCGAGCATAAAAGCTGCTTCTTTTACAAATGTGCATTTTTTGAAAATACAATTATTACGCTTGTACTAGGTAAATAATTTTAACTAAGAAAAATACTTCTTAATTGAATATTTACAATAAATAAATATTTTAACGAACAACATCAACTAGTTGGCCTCCCAGTGAGAAACCGTATATTCGTTAACTACAAATAAACAGTTGAATAAAACAGTTCGGTGATTCAACGCTCATCTCTACAGAACAGAACTAATTCTGTGATATGTCATGCGTATATCACGGCATAGGTTATTCCACGAATATACGACTGTATTGGATTATTACGACAACGAATATTTTACTGTGCAAGTAGAAGTATGAAAGTAGATTGGTCTAAACAGTATTCCAATAAAATGGATTTACTGTTAGTTTGACACTTACACTAAAATTATTTCAGTTAATATATGTTCAGATAGACGCAAAATTTATTGTGAAATTTAATCCGAAAATAACAAAAATTTTTACGCAAACGGTCCTACAAATAAATACAATGAGTTCTATGAAGCCAAAAT